GGATTCACAATGTGTTTGCTTGATGTGATTGCATGGAGCGTTGCAAAGCAAAATTAAACATCCAAAAAACTGTTTTTGTTGGAATTATTTTCTGCTTTACATCTAATCGTCCATGTTTTTAACGAATTTATATGCCTTGTTCATGTATTCAGATATTTTGTGTTCGTAATACTTCAATTTTATTGTGTGTGTGTCAGGAATTTTACTTTAAATGCAATACACTCATTGTCTTTTCCTTAGTTCAAATGACTTCGTTTTTATTTTTTTTATTTTTTTGTTTAGCCTGCTGTTTTGTTGTTGTTGTGTGTTCCTAAACATACATAAAAATTACATGTAATATGATTTTTAAAAATAATTGTATATATGCGCTTAACCAGCTATTATTAAGATTATTACTTTTTGTCTCTCTCTCAAAAACAAAAAGGAAAAACGTTATTTAATATAGTTATTTGACTTATTTGGGATCAGTTTGCAAATGTTGCGACGACTGGCCAAATAGAGGAAAAGAGCATGTTTTTTTTTTAATTCTTTCTTTAAATATTGTGATATTATGAATTGCCTTTGATGTTGTGTGAAAGTGATATTTCAAACATTCTAATATGAATGTGAAAAAAGAATTTCATCTTCATTAGCTTCCCATACCGTTCCTATCGTATGCGACAAAATTTGCGATTTTTTTATATTTAAACATTAAAATTCTTATAGAGTTACATTTTTTTTGGCGCTGGCACTTTTTTTTTTTTTTGTTGTTTTTACAAAGGAAAAATTTGAAAAATTCTAATTTAGTTAGCGATATAATTATCGATCACAAAAGAAAAATCATGGTTTCACGAAGCACAATTGGGTGTACACGATGTGTGTAGCACAGCTAAGGGAGAGTATCAAAAAGATAAAATCACCCAAACAAATGAAATACACATCTTAAAAACGTTTCTTCTTTCACATACAACTACTACTCATATTCATTTAATTAAAAACATTTTCTACTTTCCTCACTTCATTACGTCGCAAATCATTCGATCCCATATTTTTTATAGATTTTATTTTATTTTTTATTTTTTTGTAAGGCTCTAAATAAGATATAGATATTTTTGTTTTATTTCTGGATAATAACTGACACATTAATAAGTTAAAAAATAATCAGTACAGGGAAATTGATTTCGATTTGTTGCTCTGAGTTACGAAAATTGTGCCGGTTTTCTTTTTACGTAATATTCAATCCTTTTTCGCCGCATTAATTGCATAAATGCACTGATTCTGGGCGCATTGAAACCGCCAGAAAATATAGAATCGGTGAAAAATGAAACAGAGTTTCCAGTGGCAATTCGTATATGTTTTCTTTTTTTTTTTGTTTTTTTCATCAATACACAGCCTATTGGTTTCGATGAATAGATTAATTGAAAAAAAAAAGATTGCAACGACAACAAAAAATTTACGATCAATTCTGGTATCTAAATTCTATATATTAGAAAAGCATTTTGGCGAGAGAGCATTTTAAGTGTGATTTCTGTCGCTAAAAAGTTGTGGAACAATAAATATGTTGATGTGAAATTAGAAAAAAAAAACCGAAATAATCAATTTTTTTTACAAGTGGTTGTGGTACAAGTAGATTTTAAAGTGATTTCATTTTACATTGTTATTGCTTCTCATTCCATATTTTGGCGGCCGTGGATTTTCAATTGAATTTTGGTATATTCCCTAGTTTAAAATGCAATTGCGTTTGCTTTTCTACTTTTCTATTCACACTGTGGCTGATTATCTTTTCTTTTTCCTTCCTTCGTCTTCTTCTCTTCGCTTTTTTTTGTTTGTTTGTCTATTTGGGCATACAATAAAAAAAATTATCTCTGATTTTTATTTGCAAATAAAAGAAACGTAATTTGACTTTATTTTAGATTTCAAAAAAAAGCGTAAAACAAATAATCACATGTTTTTCTTCCACACATAAATATAAAATGAAGAAGAAAAAAATCGGAGAAGAAATAAAAACAACAAAAAAAAAATTGATTGAAAATAAAATAAAAGGCATGAAAAAAAATCTAAATAATAAAAAAAGAAAAAAAAAGGAATTCTATCAAAGGATTCTATCGACACGTATTTTCCGTGTGGGCTTGTTATTTCTTTGTGTGTAAAAAGTATCAACTAAAAGCGTGTTGGATTTCTGTCACTTCTTCTAATCTTAAATAGGTGTATATGTAACGTAATAAAAAGGTTATTTCCTCCCTCCCGCTCTATCTCGCTCTCTTCTATCATTTTACCCTCTTCGCTCGCCTTACATATATTTACTTAAAAGATAGATTCTTTTTTTGTTTGTCATATTAATTAACATTTTGCATCGTTCACAAGACTCAATACCGATAAAAATGACATCGGTCATAATAAAGGAGTCGAACGATATCTTTTCTTTTTTTTAGTGATAAAAATATCATTTTACATTGTTTTCACTGAATTTCGTTTGCGATTTTTTCATTGTGTTTTTTTTGTTTTGTTATTATACCTTAGCCAATAAATTACAACTTAATGCTTTTTCGAAAAAAAAAAATAGTCATTGGAATCAAAAATGGTAAAAATTACCAATTTTTTAAAAAATTACACTGGCAAAAATGTACGTTTGTTTTTAACTTCTAAAAAAATAATGATAAAAATAAAATAAAAGAAAAATAGCCTATTAAAGGAAATAATTTAGTCATTAATTAACAATATCCTAAGCGTTCCTAACAGCGTTTTTGTTTTCAATTTTTTTTTTCAATCTGTCTTTAGTCCTGTGTAAAAAGTTTCCATGAGAAATCAAATTAGCCTCTCTTCGAAATCGAGAGAATCAAAAACAAAAAAAAATGGAAAGTGAAAAACATTCAAAAAATGGACTTTTAGTTTCAATGAAAATTGAAAAGAAATTCCCTTGCTCTGTTTGCATTTTCTTATTTTCAATCTTTGATTTGGGTTTCTCTTTTTTTTGCGCGATTCCCGGAATTTCAATCGAATTTCATAAAACTGTTTTTGCTTTCTCTTCTTTCGCTTTTTTTTTGGGTTGTCAACGATTTTCAATATTTTTGTAAATTTTTTTATGATTTTTTTTCTAAATAGATTTTTAAGGTTCATCTAAAATTAAAATTTCAACAACTAAATTGAAAAAAATGGTCTTTTGTTATCATTATTATTGGTTTTAAGAGTCCATTTTTAGTTTTGCTTTTCAGGTTGATGCACATCAATTGGCATTTGATGCAATAATTCCTAATTATATTCAGCACAATTCATTTTTTTTTGTTATTCTATTAATTTTTGCTTTGATATTCGAAAGTAAAAGGAAAAAAGGGTAAATTTTTTACGAGTAAAAAATAAACACAGATTCACTACGCAAAAAGGTGGCGCGTGAATGCGTTTAAAAATAACATGTCCCTTAAACGCCGAAAAAAATTCGTATATTTTTTTTTGTTGTATATGTATATAATATACATCAATGCTTCTCTGTCTTCTCATCATTATTATCCATATTCTTTATCTTCATTAGTTTTCACTTTTTTCTTTCCTTTCTCTTTGCTTATTTTTTTGTTATAAGTTTCCTTATAATATTTTTCTTTTTGAGCATTTGTTTTATTTCTTGTTCTTCTCTATAAATTAATCAATGAATTCTACACTTCAACGATGAAAAACACAATCACCTACTATACACAAGTGTATAAAGATTTGATTTTTTAATTAGTTCTTCGTGTGTGTGTGTGTTTCTCTGGCGCTTGAAATTCTTTGTCGCTTATTTTCTATTCATTCTTTCTCTTGTTTTGTGTATAATATTTAGAGCGTGACCGTAAAAAAATGGCCACAAAATAAAATCTTTCTGTTTGGATAAAATAGTATAATAATTTTACTTAAATTAACCCGAAAAAAAGAGAATTAAATAATAAAGTAAAAAGGTGAACAACAAATTCCAAAGGGATGAATCATTGTACGAAGCGTTGAATTTTAAATACATTTCGTTCTTTTTTTTTTTGTTTGAGTTTCTTGGCAAATGCTCGTCAATTTGATATTTTGGGAAAAAAACAAACAAATGAAAAACACGCCAAAAATCCAAGGAATCCAAAAGTACTTAATAGTTAAAAAAATTGATTAGTAACATTTAATTATTTTTCATCATGTTTCACTTCAGCAGTTATTTTTTTAAAATACACATGTAAAAATAGTCGAATTTTTATGTTTTTTCGCTTGGTTTTTCGTTAGTTACTTTTGTGTGTGTTTATGATTTTTTTTCTCTTTTTTTGCATTTTTTTTTTCAAGGAGGTCACAAAAAGTTAACTCAGTTAAATAAAATTAAAAAAAAAAAATTTAAAAATATACAGAAAAAACAAACGAAAATCCTACTATTAAAAGGAATACATGAACGTTATCAAGAAAAAACAAAATAAAATAGAAAACAAAAAAAAACCTTAAGCTTAAGAAAAATACGTGAAAGAGTAAATCATTCTGTTCAACTGATTTTTAGATTTTGGCGATGCACGAGAATTTCATATTCACTTGGTTTTTTTTCCCTACTTAAACACGAGATATATATATATATGATTAGATAGATTTATAACAAATGCAGATTGAAATTTAAAGATCGGGTGCACACTAATGTAACTAGTACAAAAAATAAATCTTCGTAAAATGTTCTTTTTTTCTGTTTAAATTCCTAAAAAAATAATAATATTAATAATGATAATAATAATAATAATAATAGAGTTGGATAAAAATGATGTCGCCATGCAACAACAACAAAAAAGTTTTTTTTTTCTTTACTGTCGAACACATTAATCGTTGGAGATTTGCTTCTTTGTCTTCTTCAACAAAACTAATCTATCGCTTGATACTGAGTTAGCGTGCTTTTTTTGCTTTCACCATTTTGCAACTGATGTTTTATTTTGGATTTTTGCTTATTTTGTTTTGCTATAGTGTTCTTGCTTTTCTCTCTTTTTCTTGACTATTTGATTTTGTTTAAATTTTTGTGTGTTTGTGAATGAGTGTGTGTTTTTTTGTTTGTATTTTGTAAAATTACTTTGCATATTTTTGCATGTTTCACTTAATTGATATTTTTTCCTGGTTTGAGAGAAAAAAAAAACCGTAAAATTAATTAAAGAGATCAGTTAAATCAGTTTGGTTTTAGCGTATTCCTTATCAGCGACTTATTGTCGATGTGTTGGGTGTGCTTATGTTTGAGTCGTCGAATCACTGGATGTAAAGCGTATTCAAAACTAAAACATGATGATTATTTTTGGCCAATGTGACCACATAGCCTTCGGATGTAATTTTTAAGCCGCAACAACGTGAAACCTGCCGAGCAAAACAATACAGAACCACATTATTTGAAGTAAAAGAAGACTCGGTACCCAATTCATTTGCAAATTGATCTGATTTGCACATACCTTAACATGTGGACACTCGAATTCCGATTGAAGGATGCCTTCGCGTGAGAAGCAAGCAACATGGAAGCGATTACCGTGTGAATCACCAATCAAAATATCGCCTGCATCTGATATATCGATTCCATTGGGAAAGCACGTAATTTTCTCGTTACCAATGCGATACTTAAATGTGCCGTCTTGTCCAAAGACCGCAACACAATGACCCTTGAAGTCGCACACGTAGAAATCGGTACCTTTGAACATAAGCAAATTCAGACGTCATTCAATAGAATGAAAATCAGATTATGTTTGATTATATTCGATTCTTACCACTGATAGCAATGTCAGACGGTTCACGCATGTGATCACTGCAATCAAACCAGTGAACCAAATCTCCATCTTCAGAGATGACAAAAACAGTTGGAGACACACTGTCCACAGCGACAATGTGGCCTTCGTTTGAAACAGCCAAACCAGCAACAATATCAATGTAACTGAAAATTTATTTAAAAGAAAAACATGATGCTATAATGCTTGCCACCACAAAGATCATAAAACGTAATCTAAAATGTAAATCGAGAGGATAGCACTTACCGAATGGCAATTTTCTTGATGAAATGACCATTTTTGGTGAAGATTTGCATGCGTGATCGTTCATTTCCGCGATCGCAGACCACAAATTTGCTGTTCGATCGCATTACAGCTACTTTTCTTGGATACCACAATTGGCCCTCTTCTTTACCCGGAACACCGAATTGCATTTTGAATGTACCATCCTTTTCAAAGATTTCGATACGATGATTGTTTGTATCAGCCACGATGATTTCTTCGTCGACTCCCAAACAAAAACCATGCGGTGAATTGAATTGAACGCGTGCTGGTCCCAGACTACCAAATTTGAAGCGAATATGCATCGGTGTTGCTTTTATGCGGCCCGGAATGTTAACATTGTTCCCATTGAGATTCATGCCATTTATTCCGTTGATTCCATTTAGACCATTGATACCATTCAGGCCATTCAAACTGTTCATATTTTCGTTGATCGAACCAATTGTACCAACTGGTGATGTTGACGATGCAATCGAATAATCCGTTAACAATGACACGCTATCCGGTCGATGATTTGGTATGGCATTTGTACTCATTTCTATTGTTTATTCAACGAAAATAGGAGGTGGCATAAGAAATCATTGCAATGATGAAAGACTAATAGTATGCTTTACTTACCGTTGTTATTGAAGTTTCCAAGTTTGCACAAAGCTTGTATGTTATTAAATGCTCGTTCGTTTGAGATGAGATCGGCCAATGTGAATTGTGGAGCTGGACTATTTTGTGGCGATGACACAATACCATCCGGAATGTCATTTGATTCGACCAAATTGGCCAAACGATGTAAATTGTATTCGGCAATACTTGTGTTCAACGACAATACTTGGTTGCCATTTTGTGTGACAACCGACGATGCAATGGGTGCAATGGGTCCAGTGTGTCCATTTGTTTGGGTGGATGGTTGTTGTACGGCAACTGTATCTGGTGTGAGTGCACTGGGTGGAATTAAAAAGCTAGCACCAATATTCGACATATCACCATCAAATGATGATTGCATTGATGTTGGCAACGAAATTGGGCTGCTGGCCGTAACCGAACCGGTGAGAGCACTCTGAGAGCTATTGCATGGAATGTTTGATTTATTTAATGTCGGTGGTAGACCTGGAAGTGTTGGTGGCGGTGTACTTTCTTTTGGACTTGGTGGTGATGATTCCGTGCGAAATTTACCAAATGCATCGGATGCCAATTGCTCGAATTTTTCCACTTTCGAATCGAATTCAAGTGAAAAGTTCACATCGATCTTTGGTGTGTCGGACATAAGTTGCAAAAATTGTGTGCCAATCATTTTTTTCATGCATAAAAATTCGGTGGCATTTGATGCATTCATCAATTTATTTGAAAATTTGAGTGCTGTTTCCGTTTTTTCAACGCTTTTCTCCACGTTGTGCATCAAATCCATGATTTTTAACTCACGTTCGGAATGCAATCGATCAAGATCTTTGAACGATTGTTCGCGACATTCGTCCAAGATTTTCTTGCAACGTTTGTACGTCTCGGTGATCAAATTATGAGCGGTGTCATGTTGATTTTGAAGTTCAGTCAATGCATTTCCAAGACTGGTTGATGCATCATCACAGTAGCTAATTTTATTTTTGGCCTTAGTCATTAGTTCTTCAATGTCGGTGCGCATAAGCTTTTCGGCTTCGCCAATCAATTCGTAATGATGTTCGGCACCCTTATGGTCACCAACAACACAATCATTACAAACTGGCACTTGACATTTGAAGCAATAATACTTGAGATTTTCGCTGTTGTGCGTGGCACAGAAGATTGGTTTATGGATCGTAACCTTTTCATCGGAACTACGAATGTTATCCAGAATGACAACGTGATGGTTTTCAAAGCAACGCATGTGATGATGAGCATTATCACAACTGGGACATAGAAAATTTGCGCAATTGGTGCAACGCGAAATGGCCGTTTCGGCACTTTTACACGATGTACATTGCAATGCACCCGGTTCCATCGATGACAAATCCAAGATGTTCGTTTGCACATAGTCCGGTTGAAGTGATGCGGCCTTTCCAGTGATCTAAATTCGATTGTGGTTGCAATTCATGTAAAATTGACTTTTGTAAAAGAAATGAGAAAAAAATCAAAAAATACTTACGATAGTTGGTTGACTGCATTCAGGACATTCGATTGAAGTGTTGGCATTCAATGGATCTTCACTCTCTGTGAGCAAACCATCAATGCATTCTTCGCAAAATACGTGTAAACACGACATAACGCGTGGTGAACGAAGCTTCTCCCTATTCACAAAGTGGAAAATACATCGCAATAAATACATTTGGCGCATAATTGGTTGTTGGCATTGAATGTTCAAGGTCAGTGTAACTTACTTGCATATCTTGCAGTATTGATTGGTGTCTTCCAGCAACGAATCAGATTCATCCAATGATCCTTCAATGATGGCTTCGTTGCTATTGCCAATGCCACTGCTGCCGGACGAATTAAGGTCCAATGATTCGAACATCTTGATGTCGTTGATAGTCAATGGTTCAACAATGGTGGTTTCATTGTGTCCATTTAATATGGGCTCGGTTGTTGCAATTGGAGCCGTTGCAACACTGCTGAATATATCGGCCGATGCCATATTGTTTCGACAATCAGAAACAGACGCAGTCTCAATTCAAATCGTCTCCCCAATAACAACAATAGATCTCGCAACTTGCAACCGCTTTTTTAAATTGTTTGTTTTCAAATGTTTTAACCGCACACGATTTTATTTTTAATTATTTATTTTGGATTTAGCTTTGCTGATTAAATATATCCCGTGAGTTTGTCGAAAGTCTATTTTATGTCTTGGTTTGAATGCTTTTAGGATTCGTTTTTTTTGTGTATGTATGTATGTTTGTGTTTGTATATCAGTTAATATGACTAAATACTATACAAGTCCAACAGTTTACGAGCAAAAAATAAAAATCATAAAAAAATAGTATAGTTTTTTTTGTGTGTTCAGAATAAGATCTGATGCGATATTATTAGGATGTTGTTTTAGTATCTCTATTTTTACTTTCTCCGTTTAATACGTTGTGTGTGTGTGTTGTTGGAGCTATGTTTTTGCAGAGTTGCGGTTTTATTTTTAACTAGTTATTATCAATTAAAAATATTTATTGGTTGGTTGCTTTCTCCGTTGCTTTGTTGTTTTTTTGCTCTTCTTTTACTTGTATTTTTTTTTTTAAGTTGCTATGTAATCTAATAAAATTTGTAAAATAATTGCGTTAGAATTTCCCTGTTGCCAAGAACGAACGAACGAACAAAAAAATTAAAATCAATGTATATATATATAAAACTAAAACAATTTGTCAATTTTAATCTCTTTCGTTATCTTTTTTTGTTGTTGTAAATTTGCACACAGTAACTGATTTTGGTTTTTGTTATTATTAATTTCTTTTAATTAGTTTTTTTTTAAATTATTATTTTTTTTTGTTTAAATTTAACTTGATGAATTTTTTTCAAAAGAAAAAATTTCGTAAGCGATTTTATTTGTTTTGTTTTAAATGTCAAAAAGTTTAATGTAGGTTTTGTTGCTGATTTTGGTTGTGTATTTTTGTTGTTGTATTATTTTTTTGTTTGTTTTAAATTAGATCTTTTTTGTTTAGGCCTTTTTTAAATGTAAATATATTTAGTGTACAGTCTTGCCCAAAGTCTGAAAAAGAAGAGTATATAATAATATTAGCATAAAATCATCATAAATTCAAGGTTTAAGAGAAAAAAACATGATTTGAAACATTTGATCGGAAATTGATAGGAAAATAATGAAATTAATTTGGATTGGAGGTGATGAAATGCACGCGATACGGTAATACGAATAAAGTAAATGTAATTGATTGAGAGTGAGATCGAATAAAAAATAAACACGTGGGAATATTGGCAGCCTGTCTCTATAGTTGAAAGCAACAACACTGTCAAAGAGTGACGCCAAAAAAAGAGAAGACACGCTTCCAATCGATCAACAATGAAAATTAACAGCTACAAAAGGAACCGAACTTTTTTTTCATCTCTTCTTCTTCTGTATTGTATTTGATTGCCTGTATGTGTGTGTGCAGAAGCGATTGCCTTGTGCTATGTTATTAGATAGAATAGCGCCAATTACATATATCTAGACATATGTATGCCCTGTTACCATGAATCTAACCTCAAATTAAATATCGCATTTTTATTTCACTTTTAATTTCACACACAAAATTTTCATGTGCATGATAAATAACAGCACACATACAATTGAGAATTATATAGTTTTTTTTAAATTCAGAGTTTGATGCTTTGCTTCGATAAAATCGCTATAAATATTACTATCTAGTTTAATGATGAAACCGTTTATTTGCACGCTAAATTCAATAGCAATTCGAGTTTATTTGGTTCTTTGAAATCTTTTTTTAGAAACACCGTGCTCATTTAATTCATCAAAAATTCATGCAAACCAATCGAAGCGTTCACGTATTCGCAATTAATTCATTTGAAAAATTAATACGGATGGAGTATGTGTGTGTGTGTCTATGGTTCGCGCTCTCACTGTACGTCCAATTGAACGCGATAAGTTGGATGGCGTTAAATATTAATGGATCGATGGAATATAGCAGCTACTATGACGTGTACTTTCAATATTATTTACTCAAAAATTCCTTTGAGTAACGGGAACACAAAACAAAATAGAGAAAAATGTATATATAAAACAATCGTTTTCAATGTCACTGCCCATTGCACGAAAGTGTCAATTCAATTGAAGAAGAACAAAATATGAAACAAAAACTGAATATGCATTTGCCACACAATAAGCCAATGTAATTTGATTACAAATGTAATACGCCGCGCGTACTTCACGTTACTTCATCACACGAAAAAAACAACAACTCATACTCGTTTACACTTCATATTAAATATTAATGTAACCACATCTAAATGACTGTTGTAAAATTGTAGATGCAGAAAATCAAGATAAATAAAAAAATCGAGACGATGTAAAAGAATAATATTGTTGATACCAAAAGCGGAAATAGCTCATAAACTGTGCAATGATACTAGAACAAATAAACATGCACTGGTTGTAATCCATTCAATTCACTTTGAATACTGAACATTTCAATTGTTTCGTGTCTATTTTTATGGCAGCTTATCTTTCTAATGTTTAAACTGAAATTTTTCGCTATACTTTGTCTTTTTGTAGATTCGTTTTGCTTTTTCTTCTTCTTCTTCTCAAAATTTAATGGCGATTCGATATTTTCGTTGCGATACGAATGAAATTCCTTAAAATAATAAATTTTTCTTTTGGCTCGATTTACGCTAAGACTGTTTGTTCGTTCAATAGTTTTGTCTCTCTTTCGCGCACATGCACAATGGCTGTGGTGGCTTTCTCTGACGATGTATTTTCATGGTCGTGAAAAGGAGAAGAAGTGTGTGGAAGAAAACAGGACGACTTTTGTGCAACGACACAGCTTGGTGGTTGGTTTTTTTTCTTGTGTTTGACATTTGTGTGTGCATTCGTAGATCGCGCGCGCAATTGCAACACCATACACACTCTGCCTGTGTGTATATATTCTTAATGGCGCTAATGAATTTTGTCCTTCTAATGGATGGTTTTTCTTTGTTCTCCTTTTCTCTATCTGTCACAAACACAAAGACCACAATTTTATGCTCCTTAATGCATTTTTGGCATTTTCATTGCAAACGGACACGAATTTCATAATATAATTACACTACTCGAATATGGCGCAATAAAAAAAACACGAAACAGAACAAAAGAATGTTCGAGTTTCGCAATCGCATGAAAATTCTGGCAAACACAAGAATCAATTTGCTACCTATAGGTTCTCCATATATAATATATTGTAGCAACTATGTAAGACTATGGCATTTGCTGATTGTTGTTGTAATTTTGTGTCGCGCGCTCTATGGTTCTATGTCATTCTAGTTAATATATATATATATTTTTATTGAAGTGCGCAATGCAGTGATACACTAACAAGAGAGTAGATCACATCATGGAAAATGACATGTATATAAATGGCCATATGTCTATAGATATCGTAATATGTTTGTTGAGGTGTAGTTTTTTTTGCTGTGTTTTCAGCCTTTTCTATGTCAGACACACCATTGGCAATGTAGATGCAGACAGAATGTTCACGCGCGCCTCACCATATTAAAAACTGTGTCCTTGAGCTAGAATCGAAGATGATGAGCCGAATGTATGCGCGAGAGTGAGTGAACAAGAAAGAGAAAAAAATGGAGAGAAAGAGAGCGTGCACAAAAAAAAATGGGGTGAAAAGTCAAGTACACATCTTGAACACGATTTTTGTCCAATTCAAGACACGATTGATGCTCATTGAACCGAAATGTTTCGTTTTTCTTCATTAATATTTTGTTTTCACACACATCATTTCCATCATTTTTGATATGCCTTTATCATCACCACACAAAAAGTAAAAAAAAAAATCAACCCGACAAAACAAACTCTTGATTCGATAATATACTCGGTTTTCGTGCGTATTTTTCTCGGAAATGAATAAACTCTTATTCATCTCGAAATGTGTGTTAAATTAAAAATATTCTTGAGAAACAATGAACGATTTTTTTTTGCTCGTCGGTCGCAGTCACCGCCATCAATATTTTATGCTGTTGTTGTTGTTGTTGCTTTTCGCTTGAAAATGATCTATTCGTTCCTTTTTGCACTGAATTTAATTAGGAAAAAATTCACTTTTCCGTTTGGCGCACTTCAATCGAATGATGTTCAATGTTTGCGTCATAATTTTGATGACATTTTTAGCAAACTATTCAAATTTGTCAACGAAATTTTATGGAAAATTTTTTGCGATAAAATAAATCACTCACCTTTGCCATCACTTTAAAAGTTTTGAAGCGAAAAAAATGGCGTAGACTAAAAAGAGTCAACTCGAATACTGAGCCAGAATCAAATGCTACACATTGCTCGATGTGTGTTTGGTAATGCGCAGAGAAAAATATCGCGCACTCAGAAAACGAACGATGTCAAAAAGAACAAAAAAAAAAAACGTGAGCTCATACAGACATACACAGACGCGCAACGCACACGTACATAATCGCTCACATATACAAATGTTGAGACCATAGTAGCGCCTATGTGTTTATACGAAGAAGCAATGGACAACGGATAGATATAGGCAACGAGGGAAAAAAGCCGGCAAAAATGTCTATTACACAATTCACATACACACTGGTACGCATAGGATGCGTTTAATGACGGACTAGAACGTTTTTTTGTTGAAAAAAAAAAGTTTTTGTCTTCTTACCTTAGAGATATTGTTGATCCGATGTGATTTTTACGATTGATTTGTGTTGTGTAATTGGTCATGAGGATAGCATGGATTTGATTGTAAATTGTTACACTTTGTATGGTTTCACAACGATATCACTTATTGAACAGCATTTGACGCTTTAAAAAAAACGCGGACAATGTGGAAAACACGTTGTGCTGATACAGAAGCGATACTTCGAAATGAAATCGAATTGGGATATTTTGACACATTGAATGACATTTCTCGCAATTCTGACACTGAATTTTACATTGTTTTATGTAGACTGACAGTTCCTTTATACAAACGTTAACTTTGAATTTGCATCATTATTTTTATGTTTATCTCATTAGTGACTGAAGAAAAAAGAAATAGAATTTAAAAATGCAATCGAATTTAAATGCGTTGATGCGATTGCACCAATCCAAAGGGGTTCGTTACAATATTGAACTGCTAACATGGAGCCATAAAATGGATTTAATTGCCATGAGCAATGACAAAGGTAGCAAAATGAAAATCAGTAGCAAAATGATTATTACAATTATTGTCTGTGTTAATAGGTGAAGTCATTGTACAGCGTCTAAATTTACAAGGACTTTGGACTCAACCACCACCATATGAAGACGCCAAAGTCTGTGGCATTAGTTGGCGACCTGATGAACGAATACTTGCCATCGGTAAAAATTGTTTCTTCCACTTTTAGATGTATTTTGATGAACGCGTTATGAAAAATTTAAATTTCCCTCCAATTATTCTCAAAGGTTACAACAGTGGACGCGTCATTTTGGTAGATGTGGAAAATCATCAGGCTGTTCATACGCTCGAACTGAAAAGTGAAATTGTCTCACTAAATTGGACTCAAAACACAAAGGAATCTTATGATGATTTTGATGACTTGCAAGGCAATACAAAATTGGTAACAACAACCATCGGCTTCATCTTTGCGGTGAAAAAGTTATAATAATTTTTTTGTTTAAATTTTCAGTTTGCAAATGGTCATAAAGTTTATTTGCCACCGTTGCCGAATTTCAGTTCCCTCACATCGAATACACGGAAAAATGACTACAATTGCCATACACAGTACGCCACACGAGTGTTCAATCTGTTGATGGTTGGACTGAAATCGGGTGTGGTGCGTTTGTTTGTTTTCGGTATGTTGCCGTGTGGTCAGATAAATGTAAAATCGGTGCTTGGCGTCAAAGGTACCGAAGATTTTAATCTGTGCGACATGAAAATGAGCAGCGATTTCAATACGATCTTCGTTTTGGTTCGGCACAAAAACAAACTGCGTCAATTGGCCTTTCAAAATCCACTTTACTCAGAGTCAACCGTGTCATTGTTGAAGTTGGCCACGCAATATGGATACATTGTGAATACGTTGGCATACATTGAAGAAGTTGTTCAATGCATCATTGAAGGTTTGTTCATCATTAAACTGAATTGTTAATTGAGTAAATTAAATGTTATTGTTATTTTGAATTGTTAATTATTTAAAGCTTGGGAAACGGCCCTCCTGGAGATGGATCGAAAATTAACAAATTACGTAAACTCTCGGCCGGACGGTGTTGTCTCTGCTGATTTTCTTGAATTGCTATTATTTGGTTATGCGCCCGATCCATTGGTGAAATTTTTAACGAGAGATCTCACCGATAAAGGCATGAAAAAACTTGGCAATTCCATCGAAATCACTTATTCAACCATTCAACAATTGGTCATTCGACCGTTGCACACAGCCATATTGAATCTTTCGTATCATTTAAACTACTTGAAGGGAATGTCAAAGAATACATATTATTATAAGGTAATAATGCATTTTGAATCGATTCACATTTCTTAAAATACATAAAATGTATGAATTGTAGGATTTATTAGGCGCAATTTCAAGTGAGTCGAGCTTGAAGGCTGGGGCGTTTCTTATCAAATCATTGGAATTGCAACAGGTGATCGAGCAATCAAATCGTGATTTTAAAATATTCTGGGGTTGGTTGTACGGCGTTATTGTTCGTCTAATGGAAGAAGCCGTACCGGAAGATGTCGCCGCCGTTTCACAACAAGACACCATTTATTTGGCTGAATTTCTCAACACATTCGATGAATATTGTGAAATTGACCATGGTGAATGATTTTTCTGTCTCTTTCTACCTTTTGTTCTATATTAATCCGTTGAATATCCACTAAATCACTTAACCTCATTTCCAGATGATCGCAAAAAACGCAAATTCAATTTGGAACGTGTCGGTCAATATTTGCAAAATCAAAATCTCCAGAAATTGTCACGATTAAGTGTCAATTCTGACTGGGGCAAACTGCTCGAGGAAAATGAGTGTTTGAAAAATTCGAATTTCATTTATCCGCATCACAAAGAATTGTCATTGGTGCAAGAGCACAATAATTTGAAAGACAGTATTCGTCGATTGTTTGAGAAGCCCGATATGCTAATCAGTTTGAAATTGCAAATGGTATACACATTAATGTTGTTGTGGCTATTGCTTTGCAATTTTTTCATTATATGTTTCCGATTATTTTCCGATTACTTATCGATTATTTTAAATTTTATTCTTTTCTTTTGTGATTCTCCCCTTAGGTATACACATTGGATATTTGTGATATAACATATCAAACACATTTGCATTGGCATCAATTTGATTTGGATGAAAAAGGTTCGACATTATTTTCGTTTACCATTGACGGTAAACACATTTACGTCAAGGAATTTATACCACGATCTGAATGTATAAAATTTGCTAAATTTCAATTTCCCGTGATCGAATGTATGGAGAACAATGAGACTGTTGGCAATTCAGAGCTGAATCGTAGATTTCCCGAAATGAAATTGGTGCATACACAATTTTACAATGAAAAAGCCATGTCAATGCTATTTACATACAAAAAAGATAAACCGACGGCCAATTGTTTCGTTCAATTTCCGATTCAACCATTATTGTCACGATTGACTAGTACACGAATTCAACGGCATATTGTAATTGAACCATCGATTCCTGTTATCAATTTACGAGATTTATTAGATCCAGATTTGGTACGACCACTTGATATTAATGATGGTACCACGTTGGCCGTGTCAGGCGGACGAAAAATTGCCACCATTATTTCGATATCACGTAAAAAATTCTATCACTTTGAAATGGAGGTTGATGAAGGCGACTACGACGACGATGATAACGATGGCAGCGACAGTGAGAATGTTGATAATGAAACGGATAACATGACATTACACACTAATGAGTGAACATAAAATTCATAATTGAAATATTCGATTTTAAATCAATTTTGCACCATATTTACATGAATAAAATTCATAAATATAATTGTAATTGATATTATTGGTCATTTTTTTATTATTAAAAATGGGATAAAACGAAATGGATAAAGCTAGTAATGAGTGTACAGACTCTAGTACTTGAAACAAGCGCATTGATTGAAATTTTGTATGCAAAAGCATTGAAGTTGGTTATCATCTATCGCCGAATATTCCAAACGTTCAGTAGGTCTTTATGCATGTGTATGCGTGAGCACATTCTTAAGCTATGCAAATTAACAGGTGCAGACGAATTTGCGCGCCATTTACTTTTGCCTTTGTATTAGTGTCTTTAGTTTGGCTTGTGCAAATGAAAAATGTGAGGTACACTTTTTGAATGCTGTGCCGACATCTTCTCATTCTTTCACCAACCGCCAAAAGCGTAGCATCAACTTATTTGTTCACATTATCTATCGTACATTTTATATTCGACGCACATTTTTTTTTTCAAGAAATTTCTATCAGTAGATTTAAATTGCCAAAATTTTAAGACGAACTCCCAATAAAATAAATTTGGTTGAGCGAAAAATAAGTTGTGTTACGTACTGTTTTTATATTGTCTTTTAAATCGTATAAATGTGTTAAAATAAAGGCGAATTTTTAAGAAAGAATTAATTCCGAATATCGCTTGAAAAAAAATATAGCGGTTCCATCGAGCAAAGGTCAATCAAGTCAAGGTTAATCGTTCAGGCATCATTGGTTGCATTTTGTAACAATTTTAACACAAGCAAAATGAATTTTCAATTACCGATCCACCTAATTGTATGTATTTCTTTCGTTTTGAATTTTCATACTCTTTTTTTTTGCATTAAAATCATAAAACTAACAAAATTCTGTATTATTTTACAGTATGCCCAGCCAGGCATACCACAACAAGAACTCGCGGAGATAACCATTCAATACATGAATCCAACATTTACCGAACCGCCTGTGGATCCCATACTTCGAAATCAATATGAGACTGATGATCCGTTATATTACCCGGTGCATAACTCTTTAACGGTACTCAACTACCCGGATTACCAATACCAAGTTAATATACAATTTGCAAATTTTGATGAAATTCAATCAACGCTTGAAAGTCACGGTATAAATATCAAAGTAATAAAATTAAGATTTGGAAATTATAGCGATTCCAATAAAATAAGTCTATTCATGAATTTGGCATGGTATCACTGTAAAAATGTGAAAGAATTATACCTCTATAGCGAGAGTACACATGACCATCTTGGTTTGAATAACATATCGACTTGGTTTTTGGTTAGCCAGACATTGCCTTTCACAAAGCTGGAACATTTACATTTAGAATGCTTGAGTGACTGTGTTTGCGGCGAAATTGGCTACAAAGATAGAATACTTGATCTTCTATTGAAATCCAAACATAAAAACATATCGAAACTCACGATGCGCCGCTTTCATCTAGAGACAAAAGGTTTCGAGATAATTGCAACCAGACTGCCGAGTCTAAAGGTGTTACATTATCATGGAATAAACGGTTGGGATAGAGATCATGGATGGTTCGATCAAAATGTTTGCGATTATGATATATTGGCCACACTCAAGCAGCTAGAGGAACTTGACATTCAAGATTATCGCTGGTTTGAAGCCGTTCGCTTCATTCACGGGTTAGCGGTAAATGCTCCTGCCATCGAAAAGCTGACGCTTAAGAGACTAATGGGTCCTTATTTGGAGCCCGAACAGGACATTTTAAACAGCATCGGATATATGCAAAACATCAAAAGTTTGAAAATGTCAACATTTCAACAATTAGATACCATTGACTTCGGCGCCATCGCATGGAGATCGGACATCAGAGAATTAGAGTTTGATATTGTGCAACCTGAAAACCACTTTACAACCAGACTATTGAACATACTACAAGAGGCTCGTCCACTGAGAAGAATAACTGTTAATGAATTGGACGGTTTTGGCGAACATCCCATCGATGATAGCCTTAGATACTCGCGGTTTTTTAACGAACGTAAACCAAGTAGACTGAATGGACTCTGATTGCTTGTGATTTAATAAGTAACAGACCATATTTTTTAAACATTTTTTGCATACATTTTTTTATAAATCGTATATCAAGAGTATCTCCATTCAAATTACCACTATGTATAGGTAAATTTTAAATACAAAGAAATTTGTAAAAGTCGTTTAAGTAGAATAAGAGTCAAGTCAAGTCCAAAAATTAAATATAAATAAGAAGAAAACCATCAGTTTTTTCCTTTTATACACATATATATTTGAAAATCATTTAGCATGAATTTTGAGCTTCTGATCTGTACGGTAAGTTTCAATAAATATAGCATAACTTCAGCTGGAACTTCTTTTTAAAATGTTCAATATTTTTATCGAGAACAAAAAATTGCAATGTTACCAACATTACGTTCTTTTCAAATTGACTTAAGGAATTTATTGGAAAAGATGATATTTTTTTCATTCAAAATGAAGACAAGAGATTATATTTCATATGGATAACAACTAATGATTCATTAGTAATGAACTGATAGGTAATGACTATATTCAATTGAACTAATGGACATTCCGGCAAGTTTCTTGAACGTGTTTGGAATCGCAGATTTATTAATAAAATTATTTGTGATGTGATTTGTAAATTTTATTTTAAATAATCACATATATAGAAAATGCTCATTGTTATTGCAATTCTTAACAGTTTTTCAGTTTTTTTCTTGTTCAAAAGCACACATCTTTTGAAGAAAAAAAAACACAATGGGTAATGCTGTGATGTCATGTATTCATCGACCATTCGAATGATGATTGCCACGTTTCATGATGCAATGCGTACATATTTCTTGATTCTAATCGGCGAATTGGCTGGTGTTGATCCGCCGTCCAATGTAGAAAATGGATGTTCATTTCTACCATTTTACACGCCGTTTTGTCCATCGCACGTACCGATTCAATGTGTTTGTCGAATCCCAATCATGTTTGGCCAAATACGTTTCAATTCCGTTGTTCATGTGTAAAGAAATCTATTCTTTTGCAACACACATTAAACTCAAATGAAAGGAACCAATTGTATAAAAAAGACACTGGCACACAGCCACCAACTGTCAAATGTCATACACATTCGAAATACGTTTCGGGTCCGAAAATGTTCTTAATTTTAATTTAAATAACGCAAATTTCCCACCAAACGGATTGTTTTTTTTTATTACTGAGCAACAAATGAATCGTTACAATTTAAAACTTAACGTATTGGGCTGTGTTTACATTATTAATAACGAAATGGTATTGGAAGTGAATGAAACAAAGTCATTCCATTGGAATTCGTACATTTTGTTTGAAACTATGCACATAATCTCCGTTATTTTAGACACGAAAATGACCACCAAAATGGGTTAAAGCGTTAAATTTTTTAACTGGGTTGGAAAATCAACACGTTTTTTTCAAATGTAATTTACGTAGAATATGTATACTCTACAGATTATTCTCTTTGTAGATTATTCAAAAGTGCAAAATTAGAGTCCAATTGCCACTCAAAACCTTGTCTGAAGTTGGAATGAATAAAATGTCCAAATGTGTCTATTCTCAATAAAAATTACCATAAAAATTCCATACAATTCTCGGTATTTTGATACAATTTCTGGTGGTTTTAATATATTATACAACAACAATTCTATATAAAAAATGTCGTGTTCCGCTTTGATATAACAACCATTCTGTACGTTGTTTTTATTCTAGAGCGTTCATTTACAAAATGTAGATTATGTATCAAAGTAATCTCCATACCAACCCAGCTTTTTAACGAATTTTGTTCGATAATTATCACACACATGTTGCATCAAATCCAGTTGAACTTTTCGTGTGCCACTCATAAACGGTTCATTGTAATAATAAATGTTATCAAATGATAACTAATTGTATGTCAATTCGATTTGAATACATCACACAAAAAAATATGCGGTCAAATCAAATGAAGATGTGGTTATTCAGTAGTGTGCGGTCATATTTTCATCATTTTTATAACTTTGTGTTCTAGAATTGACCGCAAATTTCCGCATTCATAGCACATTTGACCGCACACAGTGTCAAAATGATGAATATATGACTAAACACTACTTAATAACCGCATCTTCATTCGATTTGATCGCATATTTTTTGTGTGATGAAAGCGCATTGTGTGAGTATATAAACATGTCATACGTCCTGTCTTATATCAAGTCGCGTCGTATGTCAAACGCGATACCTCTTATAAAAAATATAAATAAATAGCACATACGTGTTTATACTGTCATCTGACAATACGTAAACAAATTTGGTAAACCAATTCAATCAGCTCAAGTCATCGATTTCAGTGTTGTGCTTCAAAATTTAATACAAAAAAAACAGCAATAATCTTTAGAGACAATTGGAACAAACAAAGAAAAAATTGAGGTTATCATTCGTAAATGATAAGACAACGACACAAAAGATGAAATCGTATCGTTCAATAAAAGTATTTTATTTTTGATGAATGCACTATTCAATAAGGGCATTCCACTTTATTCGAATTACTTCCATCGATTGACAATGACCGCTGTGTGTTTGAAAGACGAAATTGTTCAATTTAAAAATTGTCGCTTAATTCGTAATCATCAAATCGTTGATGATTATTTATGGATACAAAATGGTAAAATTATCAATCCAGAGCCGATATTTTTTGACCAAAAAATTGGATCACATCGACAAATTGACTGTAATGGTGCAATAATCGCACCAGGGTTCATTGACATTCAAATAAATGGTTTGTTATTCCGGTTTTCTTTTGATAAACATATTTGAATTTAATCAATATTCTTATCTCTCTCGTTGAACAGGTGGTTTTGGTATTGATTTCACGAACAATACAACAAACGTCGAAGCGGGCATTGAAAAAGTGGCAAAAGGTCTCTTGGCTCACGGTGTTACATCATTTTGTCCGACACTAGTAACCTCATTACCCAAAATATATCATGACATACTTCCACGTTTTAAAAAAACAAATGGCGGAGACAGTGGCGCAAATATTTTGGGCGTTCATTTAGAGGGACCATTTATTGATCGTAGCAAAAAAGGTGCTCATGAGCTGGAATGCATTCGAGATTTTGATAATGTACGTGAGTTCCATTTGGGGAAAATTTTATCATATATACTTTTTTTGTAATTCGAATCGTTTGTTTATTGTGTCAAAAGGGAATTTCGACGGTTCTTGAGACATACGGATCACTAGACAATGTTGCCATTATAACATTAGCTCCAGAAAAGCAAAATGCTTTGGAAGTAATTGAAGAGTTAACTGCCAGAAATATTACTGTATCCGTTGGTCATTCAACAGCCAATTTGACAAACGGAGAAGCAGCTTTTAAGAAAGGTTCAAAGTTAATTACACACTTGTTCAACGCAATGCTACCGGTATGGAGACTTTACTATGACTGAGTTTTATTTCAATAAATGGCTGTAAATATCGTGTATAATTTAATAATGTACACACAAAAGCCAAGTAAATACAGCCATTCATTTGGAAACAAAATCTAGTAACGTCGAAATTATGAGCACACATCTGATTTTACTTGAACTTTGAAAATAATGGTATTTGACTTTTTTTACAGTTTCATCATCGTGATCCAGGTTTGGTTGGATTATTGACATCCGATCAATTGCCCAAATCACAAACGGTTTACTATGGAATTATTGCAGACGGTATACATACACATCCAGCTGCCTTAAGAATTGCATATCGTGCAAATAGAGACGGTTTAATCTTGGTGACCGATGCTGTTTCACCGCTTGGACTATCGGATGGTGATAAATACATTCACAAATGTGTATAAGTTGAATTTAATCAGTTATTATCTCTCTCATTGAACAGGTGAACATCGCATAGGGCAATTACGTGTTCGAATTGAAAAAAATATGGCACGAATCGCCGGAACTGAAACACTATGCGGTAGTATTGCCTCAATGGACGAATGTGTGCGAACTTTCAAAAAATCAACAGGTAACTACAGATTATCAATTAAATTCTTATTTTCAATATTTAATTATTTTGAGCATAGTTTTGTGAATGGCATAGAAAAGAGGATTCGAATTAGAGGTGTTCAGATTGCGGATATTCGGTGTTTTTTGAAAATATAAAATAATCGAATTTTTCTCTACCAACCAAATTCTCTAATTTTCTACAGTTTTTTGTTTTTGTCGTAAATTGATTATTTTGTTTGTTTTTTTTTCTATGCCATTCTAGGCTGTTCCACTATATTTGCAATCGAAGCTGCCACATTACATCCTGCAAAATGCTTGAATATTGAAAATTCAAAGGGAACGTTAGATTTTGGTGCTGATGCTGACTTCATAATGCTAAATGACGACTTGACCGTGCTATCAACATGGATTGCCGGCAAACAAGTATATTCTAAGACACCTTAATCCGACACATTTTGTTTACAATCGATTCTATGTACAATTGTACATTGTATGCGAAAGAAAATCATGTTGAATTCATTTTGTATGAATTTTGAATAAATATCCGTTTTATTTCCATTTTTATAAAGAAAGAAAAATCTGTTGAATTACATCATTGAATCAATTTGCTTATACAAATAAAATAAAACGTAATTATGAATGAAATAAATTTAAGCATTTTTTGTTTTCATTTTTGGATACAGACACATTCAGATTATTATCTTTTGACATATGGTTCAAGAGTTAACATTAATGAGTGTTTTTTTTTAAATGTTGTTGTCTGAATTGATAGCAGAGAGTTGTTGAGAGGATGCACATTGTGAAAAGGAATTCTGTAGCCACGACATACAATTGGAAAACAAAAAGAGAGAGAGAGAAAACGAAAAACAAAGTTCATGATTTGGTTAGATTTCCATTGTTTATTTTCTTTGAAATTGAATGATGTAAAAAGAATTTTGCAAAATGCTATACATTTGTGAATATGGTAGTTTATTCCTCTTCTTCTTCTTCTTCTGTTGGCACGGAAATTGCGATATGGAAATGGTGAAAAAAAGAAAGAAAAATTAAATTAGTTTTTAATTCAAATATCTGAGCAAATAGATTTTTTTCTTCTAAATTTACCTTCTTCCTCCTCCTCTTCTTCTTCTTCCTCTTCTATTGAGTTGAAACATGAAACGAAGAGAAAAATTAGATATACAAATTTTCGTCGATTTTGGCTATAGTTCAAAATAAAAGCGATACCCACCTTCTTCTTCCTCTTCTGCAAAATTGAAGCGAGTGCATGGAATTGAAATACGTAAAAGAACGTAAAAAGGATAAAGAATTAGTATATATTTTTCGCATAAAATTTCTGAATAAAATCTTTCAATTTTCATGTCTTTAATTCTATGTTTCTAGATAGCAAAATAAAAAAAGGGTTGCGCAAAAGCAATGATTTTGACGCTGATTATTACCTTCTTCTTCTTCGTCCTCTTCTAAAATTGGTGAAATTGGGCCGAAATTGAATGTAATGAGAAAAAATGTGAATTAAAATTTTGAATTTTTTTTTTCCAATTTTGAATTTGTGTGGAAGAAATGTGATCTAATTTTTCCCATTTGCAAGCTTAAAGCGGAGAAAAGTTAGTTCGCAATCTCTTGCATATGAAATATGGCATTAAATGACCAAAGCCTTACCCTCTTCCTCTTCTTCGCCTGAGCAATTGAAATTATAGCAAAATAAAAAAGAAAAAAAATGCGAAAAAAAGTTTGGGAATAAATGCGTGTAAAAAGCAAATCGGAATTGTTGTGCGAATGAATTGTCATGTTTTAGCAAAATTCAGTGAAATTCAGCGATGTTTGGCTGTCACATGACCACTTACCTTCCACTTCTTCTACTTCTTCGACTTCCTCGGCTTCATCGTCGATTTCGACATCATCGGCCTTGGCATCTTCTTCACCTAAACCGTAAATGATCTCTCAATTAAAATGTTCCAATCAATGCGAAACAAATCGAGTGAACAAACCTTCTGGTGTTTCTGGATCGCCAGCTTTCTTGCCTGGTCGTTCACCGAACCATTTTGGAAGACGAGCTACAAAATGCGAATATGGTTTTAGAACACGATCTTCAATATTGATTAATCATTGGACAATTTGAAAAATTAACATTAGAAACTGAATGGGTTAATCAACGAAGAAAAAAAGTTTGAAGCGATGTGGTGGAATATGGATGTATGGTTTTGATTGAATTCGAATGTTATAGTTAGTGAAGAAAGACCGCAGATTAACCGCTTACCTTTTTGACGGCCACCGAATTGATCTTTTCTATCAGTCCAGGTCTTTTCGAGGTTTTCTTTGTAGTGTTCAACAATGCCCTGTTCGACATAAAACATAAACGAAAACAAATGGAAATTGGGACATTGTTAAAAGGTGATTAAGTGATTATGCTTAACGTAAATTTTGTCTTAGATGCATGCACAATATTGTCGTCTTCATTCGATCAACAATTGGGATTACGTGGCAACTGTGCTTAACTCATTTCAGCGAATTAATTTCGCGTATTGCCATGAACAGAAACAACGACATGGATAACATTTAGAACGAAAATGAGTAGGGAGAGTACGCGGCATATATCAGTATGAAACAAAGTTAAATACGAATACACTTAATTCGATGTTTCGCCCACCTTTTGTGCGTTTCATAAAAAAGTCATTTTTTTCTTGCCACCGTTTATTTGCCAATTCAGATGTAATCGTTGTGTATCCCTTTCAAAATTATTCGCGATTTAATATCATTTGATTTCGCAGCAATAAAAAATTTTTAAAAAAAATGTAACAAAAAAAATGGCCAACTTACACCTTCAAAGAGTTTCTTCTTGTCGTCGTATGAGCGGGTATCTACACGTCGTTCATATTTGGAGGCGACTTGAATCTTTGGCTGTGTATGATTAAAAAAGAAGTGAGAGAAAGAAACGGAAAAAAGTTAAGAATTAGTTTCAAATTAAGTGCAATGATTAGATGTGGGGTTGCATCACATTTAGGAATCCACGTACTGGGTATTTGCCTGTCAAAGCTTCTGGATCTAGACCCTTCTTCAAAGCCTTGTGTCGGAGTTGTTGCTTTTGTCTTTCTTTCAATTCCTTCAAGTCATAGTCCTGACGCTTTTGCCGTTCTTCCAAATCGTACTTTTCGGTTTCCAATTTAACAATCAATTCCCAAAGTTCGATGGCCTTCTTGCGGAGAATATCTTCGCCCAAACCTTCGACTTCCAATGGTTTGATACGGAACGACAATGAGATTTTCTTTTCTTCTTCCAATTGTTCTTTGGTCTTGTTGCGTTCAATAGCGCTGCCCGACAAACCGAGGGCGCCTTCTTTCTTTTGAATGGTGAAGTTTGGTCCCTTCTTGTCCTTGTCCTTCATGGCTTGAAGCATGGCTTGGCGTTTCTTTTCGGCCTCTTCCAAACGTTGACGCTTTTCTTCAATGTCACGTTGTTTCTTCTCTTCGATTTCACGAACACGACGCTCTTCTTCTTCCTTCTTACGTTGGGCCATACGTTGTTCTTCTTCGGCACGGGTCACCTTACGTTTAGCTTGTTTTTCCTTGAGTGTTTTCAACTCGACCTCTTCCTTGGCACGTTGTTTACGCCATTCCGAAATGTAATCCTTCAACTGATCATCGAGATCGCTGCGTTTTTGATCTTGACGCTTGACAAATTCTGGATCTCCGGAATCTCTGTTTTAATCAATCAATAGACATAACACATTTTTACCAATGATTTCGAATACGATTACACGTCTACGGACAATTTCTGATTAAGGAAATCCCACAGACAATTCTTCTAATCCAAATTTTGTTTCGATTTGATCGGTTTTTTTATGGAAAAGTTTGGGTGAGCCGTTTTCAATTACTTCTTCTTAATATTAGCTAAAAAAAAAATCTGTAAATAACCAAATTTTTCATGCACTTTTTTTCCTGAAACAAATTTAGAGTGATTGCAGGCTCACCCCTACTTAACATCGATTATTTTATATCTATTTTTTATTTCGATATTTAGACTAATTTAAATTGAAAGCTTAATCACATTAAATGCAACTTATTCTAAAACACCCAAATCCATTCATTTGCTGGGGGCTTAAGCATGCAGACAATTTTGGTGTATGTGTACATATAAATATGTGTGTTTTTCTTTGTTTGTGCTTATATTTGCAATCTTATTTTATTGTTAACTTATTTTTTAAATTTTCAATCGAATTTAGGTGCAAAATCATCGAACTAAAACAGATTTGCTGATCACAATTGGGTGTTAGAGTGTCAAATTTGCCAAATGAAAAAAAAAACAAGTGCTTATTTTGCGTCCAAAGAATATTCGTTCATGTAAAAAAATGTTTTTGTTTCTGTCCAAAATGGAATTTTGAGTTTTATGTAAAATGGTTAAAAAAAATGTGTGCTCTTAAAAAAAAGGTGGAGATTTTTCGGTCGCATTTTTTTTTTGTGTATGGCCGTGAGTGAAAAAAATCGTATATACAAATTTTGATAGAAAAAAGAATATAATAGAGAGATTCACATTATATTCGACCAAAAACTCCAAATAAAAAAAAGTTAAAAAAACCTTGTAAAAATATTTTCAATTAGAAGCAAGTTGTTTTCCAAAATTGTTGTGTTTGTTTTGTTGATTAACGTTATTTGTTGTTTTTGAAAAAAAAAATGCTTAACAATTTTTTATGTGTGTGTGTGAGAGAGAGAGCACCAAAAACTTACTCGGTTTTTGTAACAGTCCTGCCAAGATAAACGGCATCGCCAAATTCAAAGTGTGTTCACAGGATATGATCATGATTTGATATGTATGTGTTTGTGGGTATTTGAAGTATTCGTAAATACGTATTGCAGGATACGATCGAATGAATCGAGAGTGATATTTTTGGTTTGGATAAAAGAGAATAATGTTTTTGGACGATGTCGCATTGGACAAAAACATTTGATTTTTTTTGGTTTTTTTGTTTGATCGGGGAGGGTAAAACAGAGTTTTAACAAAAAAACAGCAAAAAACGACAATTGTCACGGGAACAAAAAAAAGAAGAGAAAAAGAAAATAGAAAAATATGCAATAAAATAAATTAACAAACCTTTATGTGATCATTACAAACTACCACAAATTTTTTTTTTTTCGAACTATTTGTTTGAACAAGCCTAAATGCATGTGATCGATATCGATTTAAAGTTATAGCTAAATGTTTGAAAATAAATGAATTGATATTCTATGTTAAACTACGTCGCGCTGATTTTGATTTCATTTTTACCTTGGAACTATTTTTAGCTACCGTTACAAAATCTCTTCAAAGAATCTAATTTCCAAAACAACTCACTAATCCACAACGAACAAAGTAAAAAAAAAACGGTTTTCTTGAAACGGTGCAAAGCACAACATAACTACAATTCTACTGTCTAAATGATATATCCTTCATTGTTTCAATTTGAAAATCAAATTTTAAAAATTCTTTTCGAAATAGTTGATTATTTAATAAGTGATCAAAATTGAGTGACACTGGACAATGGCACACTTACTTCCTGTAAAATGAAAAAGAAAGAAGAAAATAACCACATTTAATATCGAATAACTTTTGATTGTTTAAGCTATGCGAGCAATTTGGCTCGAAAGCGCCGTTAGTTTGCCTTGAGCATATTGCAGTTAAAACGTTATTTTTATTGTTATATGCATCTCTCGGTTGACAATAGTTGTGCGCGCGTGTGTGTGCATCACACACCGCTCACAATTGTTCAGTCGAATTATTTTTAATATTGCTGCAAAGCAGTGTAAAGTAAAACATTTTTAGTTGTTGTCTGTCAAACGACATGACGGATTGCATTTTTTTTTAAAATCATTTATAAATTAGTGTCAAGTTCTTGAAATCATCATAATTTATTTTGAGTTGTGAGCATCGACTTGGCCTTGTTCATGATTCGCGTGATTGCCGAAAAAAGAAGCAACTGTAACGCTATATACAAGTAGACAAAGTAATAGACATACGCGAATAAAGAATAAAAATAATCAAGAAATTTACCCGAGCGAAACATAGTCAGACGCTGTGTATGAATTTGAAAACAAAAACAAAGAGATTGAAAAAGAAAAGGATTCGAATTCTACGAAAATGATATGTACAATATTTACATTGCAAATGCAAAATAAAAAAGATGAAATAGAAAGACGATGATCAACTACTACATTCGGCACAAAAGTCAATATTTACAAGAAACTCATCTAAGAGATATCTAAGAGATATGTGTTTGTGTGTGTTAGAGAGAGAGAAATCTCTTTCAAATGCCAACAAATTACTAGTTAAACTGGTTAGAATTGTGCTGATTACTTCGACCAAATTAAAAAAGAAAAGCGATTGCCTCAAAATTCGAATTATTCGGAACCACTTACGTTTCGTGAACTTCTTCGACGACCTCCTCTTCGGATCTTTGGATGGGAATTGAATGGTTTTGAAGGGGAAAAAATTGTAGAAAAATTAGTCATCAATTTATCCGTAATTTTCTTAAAAAGTTAGCCAAAAAACCAGAGGAATGGAAAACAATGAACAGAAATTTAAATCACGTCTACAAAGGGATCAAAGTCCCAACATAAAAATAATTCAACAAATTTAACGAACGAAAAAAAAAATAAACTTAAAAATGATAAAAATAACATTTATTCTATCACGAAGGTGAATAATTTTGTTTTTATTTCGAAAGATACTTACGTGTATTCTTCATCGTCAGACATGGTGAAAGGGTTTTTTTAAGACCTAGAATATGAGTGAAAATATGTGAGCAATAAGAAAAAAAAAATTGTTTCGAGAAAATGTTCTTCTTCTGAAATCAGCTTAACGATTTGGAATGAATAAAAACAATTTGACAGATCAATCGGTCGAAAAAGAAATAGAATCGTTGCCATTTCACAATGGCTATTTTCATCTCAGCCAACGGAGCATACATTTTTTATTATAGAAAAACACCCACATGTATTTGCTGACTGTTCAAAAAGGAATGCGTTCTGTAATCAAGCGAGGGATTGACACAAAGCAACACCATCGCGCCGAACACCAGTTTCAGATCGAGTGAACGAGAGAGAGAGGAAAAGTGTATGTGTCGAGAGAAAAATAAACGAGAAAAATAGAACTGAAAAGTGAAAATGTGAAACATGTTTGTTTGTGTGTCGCGCGCTTACGATAATAATCACGAAGTGTTTTCTATTTCTTTCATTCTTCGCCTGTTGATTTTATGCAATCAGTTCTGGGAGCGGTTCAACATCTCTATCTCGCTTTCTTTCGACATCATTCGCACCATACACTTTTATATAACATCAAAACATCCTTTTCTAATAATTTTGGCCCGTTGATGCCACTTCGCTTTTTGTGGGAAGTTCTCACACTGTGTTTTTCGACCGTCTATATTTAGAATGCGTATCGTGTCACAGTTTTAGTATGTGTTGTCGGTGAAAATTTTTGTTATTGAAGTTGAAAATGAACTAATCGCGCAGCGCCCACGCGAAAAATATCATTTTTTATGTTTTTTTCGTTCGTTTCCATAAAATGGTTCGTTCCATATTTCGACATTTTCACCGAACTAAGTCCTAGTTCATGCAAATATCGAAGGCGAGATGAAAGCTATTTTGTTGCCACTTTCGAGCGCACACACCATTGAACATTGCAAGGGCGATAGAGAGCCTGTATTTTCCGAATTAATTTTCTCAGGGAAATTGATAAAATGTTGGGCATTTGTTCAAATATTTGACACTTTCAGTGAAATGAATGCATTCAATTGCTTTAATGAATTTATGCAAATAGGAAAAAGCATTCGCGTTGCGCACGCTCATTGTCTCTAAAGCTGATGTGATGGCCAATGATCGGCACAAAGATCGAAAATATTTTTAAACCGTATATTTTGTTCAATTTTGATTGGGCCCGAATGGACGACACAAAAGTGAAAATTTGAACCATCAACTAATTCGGTGTTTCTCTTGCTTTTCCCTTTATTTCTATTTTATCGTGTAGATGTTTTTGAAATGTGTATGTTCGAGACGGTGTCTCTCTCACATTTAGCTAAGATCGCACCAAAACAGGACCGAGGCGCATAAGCGAAAAATTGGCTACATCACAAAAATAGAAAATGTGCTCGCCACTAAACGCACCAACATGAATTGATATTGAGAGAGCTGAGGCGTATGAGTGTTTTTATGTATGTGTGTATATATTTATATGTCTGTGTATGATATATTGTGTGATTAACTAGACGACTTTGATGAAGAAAAAAAAAACATTTTGGAATCTTTTTTTTAACTCGAAGAAATTTCGTAGTTCGATTGAACTATTTTCACTATTTCATTGGCCATTTTCAATTTATCAACTTTCATACACATTAATCAACACAACATCATGTCTTTTTAAAATTTCTAAAAATATTCTGCCGTAAAAAAAAATTCGCAGTTTGTGTGAAAAAAAACTTAAATGAATTTTTCCAACTGTTGTTACTTCGTTGATCACTTGATCCTTAAAGGTTCCAAAAAAAATTGAACACTTAAAAAGCTGCAGTTGATTTCACACACTTTGCACACAAAAAATTTATGTCATTTTCACTCTCGCCACTGAGTTTATTTTTTATTTCAAGAAAAAAAAATCATTAACCAAATTGAACTTTTCGTTCAACCAATTTTTTGTTCCACATTTAAAAAAAAACGAAATGCAGATCTCCAAACTGATAAAAGAAGTCGATAAACTTGTGTGGTTTGTTTTTCGTGGTTTCCATACTGAAGATGATGAAGAAGAAGTGGGAAAAAAGAGAATTGCAAAGTATTTGCTGATGAAATTAGAACTTACTTTACAAATCAGAAATTAAAAGAAAACGATCAGCAGACGTCGCCGAACCGATGCTGCGAGTGAACTAAAACTAACAGTGGCTAGAGCATCACCTAGTCGACGAGTTAAGCTCGACTCGGAAAAATCGGATTCACGCACACTGCCGCAAAATCGCCAACGTCGAGTTTTCAAAATCCCAATCTACTCTCGCTTTACACATCACCAGATCATTTATTATTTTCGGCTATTTCTGTATCATTCGCACTAAATGAAATCCATTCACCGTTTATATATATATGTATCGTTATATTTTTATTTTCAATATATGCGAGTGCGATATTACCTCATATCACACAGCCAGATGCTTTGTATGTTGAAAGAAAAAAGAGAAAGAGACCCGAAGCAAACAAAAAATAAAAAATAAAATAAAAAGGAGCACGGATTGGCACTCATGTGTCGTGAATATATACATATATACCGGATTGCACGGTCTTACATATTTTGAATCGGCTATATTTAAACACCAACTTTATTTATTTAGGCGAAAGCGCACATATTTCTCATTTGATTTGACTTTTTTACGTGGTTCACATTAAAATCGACCGAAAAAAAGACCGTATTCCATTGAGCAGTCGATTGTAGGCGGTGTTGTTCAAGAAAAAAGAAATATCGCATATATATATAATTTTCCATGAGTCTTTCTACATCAGGCAAAATCGATTCTTCTCAACACATTCACACAAAAACGAAAATTCATGAAACATGCATACATCCCACTAAATCGAGCGAAAAATTATTTAGATGTTTTTCTTCTTGCGTTCTTTTTTCTTCTTCTCGAAAGCGGTAGCGCTTAAAATCGCACTTAGAAAATAGAAAAATTAAAGAAACATATTTTCAAACACTTCGATTGGATAGGAAAATGTTTCATCAAAATACTTGAAATTCTGCAGGGAAAATTTGATCTTGAAAAAAATGCATTGATTTATTTAATTGAGTCTACCGCGAATGTTTGCGGTTCAAGTTGAAGATTTTGGTGCGGAAATAACATACATTCAATTGAACTTTAATAAAAATTCCCCAAAAATGTAGCCAATTCAAAGCTCGAGATATACCTTTGCTGGATGCCCTTAGATCACGTCCCGATTCGGCATTAAAATCTACAAATAGAAGAGCATTTCAATTTGTTTTCATATTTCGCTCGATTGCGGTTCTATTTTCATCGGTTCGGTTTATGTTACAAACAACATAGCCTTAGTCACCCAAAAACAACAACCGTTATTTCCTCACTACACATATTTGTGAATGTCAATTTTTTCCACAGACGGAATTTATCTCGAATATGTGTTAATAAAAGATGTAATTGAAAAATCGAACTAGTTTTTTTTTTCTTCAAAAAAACCTACAAGAAATAGGAAAATGCAAAAAAAACCATCAAAATATATATACGTTTTAAGAATTGACTAATTAATTTCGTGCAAATGTGTGTGACCTAGAAAAATTGTTTAAGAGTTTTTGGCCGATCGTGCGGCGCTTACAGGAATGTGAAGAAAAAATATGAAATGATGTGTGATTTTTTTTCATAAAAATCGACCAAAACAACACTCTGGCAATGGTTTGGCAATCGATCTGAAAAGTAACGTGATTGATGATTTGCAAGATAATATCTAATCAGCGAGACAGATTAATATGTCGGTGTAGATTTTTTGACGAAAATTCATTTAGCATTTTTTTAAAAATATAAAAGTATCCGAAGTGCATTGAGATGCTTTTACTACACATCAACTCTCGGTACTGGCTAATTTTATTTAATTCACAAATGAGACGAACAACGATAGGAAGAGTGCTGAAAAACTACGGTGTCGGTAGACGTGAAAATATTTCAAAAGCGTTTTACATTCGATGACGACGTAATTGTTTTTAAATCTACATGTTATGCCTTATTTTCAATGCCGAACCGCCGAGTTGAACGGATCTATTTTTCTTTTAAATTTGTTTCGACTTGGCATTGTTTTCTTTTTTTTTTATTCTCTCGACTAGTTGGAGCTTGTGTTCCAATTTTTTCGGTCTTAGAAAAAAAAAAACAATTTATGAATTGAAATA